TAGTAAAATTTTGAGTTATAGCAAAATTATAGCAAAGGGTGCACACGGTGCAGGGTGCACCAAAAAATAATGTCCAAGTAAATTATTATATTTTACATACCGCACTTATAATAAATTTGAGAAAAAGGTTGTTATATGTAAGAATGGTGCATATAGCAACCACATAACCAATCCGCAGCCATGATAAGCTTCATAAGTTAAAAATAAATTACCATTAAAGTGAACGTTAACGAAGGCACAATATTATTTTAACATGATACTTAAAATTTCAATTTTTTTCGAATTATTCAAGAATTTATTTGTTGATACATTAAATTGAAATATTAAAATTGTTCATTTCAAATTTTAAATATTTAAAATGTATTTACGTCGATATTAAACCAGTTATTTATTTATTAGCTGGTGTGATAGTAATTAAACCTTATATTTTAATATTTCCTTTTGCCTTAACAATAAAAATGGTTGTAGTTTTTGTTACATTTAAAATTAAATTTAAAGCATAATTTTCGGAGGAACTGAAGTCCAGACAATAAGCGAAAAATTTTGGATGCCGTGTGTGGTTCCAGGAGGGTGTAATAACACAAAAAATTATTTCGATCTCAAATGTTCAAATCATATGACGTATTTAAATTTAACTTAAGGCGCAACAATTGATTTACAAGATATCTACTGTAGAACACTTGAATACAACTTCACATACCGTATTGTCGCGAAATAACGCGCAGGGTGAAATCACAAATTTCGGCCTAAATTAAGCTTAATTCGGGCCAATCTTCTAAATAACGCCCATGCCCGTTATTTCGCGACAATAAGGTAATAAAACTGATTGTTGTTAAATAAGTAATATCAGTATTAACAACGTTAATAATTTAATTTTTTTTTTTTTTTTAGTATTTATAGCCAGTTTTTGTCATTGTGTATTAAGTGTAGAAAGAACACTGGTATTAAAAATGACCTTCAGAGTTATAGAAGCAGAAATTATTTTAGAAAAAATAATGAATGTTATTGAAGTAGTAATATATTTTTCTTACCAGTGAAACATATGGGATAATCCTAATCATAGTTCGAATTGTAAAAAAAAAAAGTTTAAACCGATTGATTTTTTATTAATTAATAATCAGAAATACAGCATCATAAATGTAATTATTTACCACAAATTTTTTTTGAAAATTTAATTGGCCTAGAAAAGGTTTTGACATTAAGCAGTTTATTCGTAGGTTTATAATTCGAATAATTTTGTGAGTTGTTTGATAATGTTGGAATGATTGTGTCAGCAGATTGGGATGCTTTTAATATTAGTAATTCATTTTCATCCTTTTCAATACCATAATCCAATATTTTATGCCAGCTTGTTAATATATTATAAATGTTACGTGCAATTGGCCTGTTAGAAGGATTGGAATCCATACATTGATTCACTAATTGGATATAGCATTCAGGGGTGCCTTTAGCAAAATCTGGACACAACCCGCAACATATTTTAATAGCTAGCACTCATCATAATCAGATCATAATGAGGCGGTCTTCCTGTAGATATTTCAGTCATAATAATGCCGAAATTATAAATGTTTGCTGCTATTATATATGGTTTTTATCTAATACTTCAGGTACAATATAAGGTAAACCGCCGTAAATACCGTCTTCTAATATTAAATCATCATTTTTTCTGGATAATCACAGATTAGCAATGTAAGAGATTAAGGGTGTTCTCAAGCAACTCCCTCAATGTGATCTGATAGTGATTGAGATGATGCTCAATTATTACAATTGATCGT